GGGGAGGGCGGGCGGGAGGCCGGGCCAGCCGGGGGCTGGGCTCCGGCCGGCCCCCTCCCTCCATCCCGGCGCCGCATCTTCCCGCGCCTCCCGCCCGGCCCCAGGGACTGACAGCCGCGCCTTTCGGGGCTCCACTCACCGGCAGTCGGCCTGCAGCCCTGGCTGGGCACCCGCTTGGATCTCCGCGCTCCCCGCGCCCGGGCACTCGGCTCCCCCGGCGGCTGCCGCGGCCGCCGCGCACGGCTCCTCCTCCCCGTCTTCCTCCCCCTGCAGCCGCCGCGCTTGCTTCCTCCTTCTTCCCCTCCCTCTCTCCTCCCCCTCGCCGCCGCCGCCACCTCCCCCTCCGGTTCGGCTCGGCCCCTCGGGCCGCGGCCACCCCGCCTCGCCTCCTCCCCTCTCCCGCCTCCCTCGTTCCCCCTGCCGCTCCCACCCTTCACACCTCCCACCTCCCTCTTTGCGCCTCTCCCTCCCCTCCCTCCCCCGGGCCCAATCCCCGCCTCCTTCCCCTCCTCCCCGGCCTGCCTCGCGTTCGGCACTCGCCGAGCCTGCACGCGTGCACTGCCACCTTCTTGCACCACCGTCTACGGAATTCGCCTCCTCCGCGAAGCCGTTTGGACCGATTCCACCTCCTGCGACCCGGTTCTCCAGGGCATTTCTTTGTACACCGGACACCTAGTAGGCGCTTAGCCGGCCCTCGCTAAGTTCTTGGGGGAATGGACGAGGCTGTCTAGTGATGAGCAGCTGGTCAAGCTTGGCTTTGGGGGGGCTCTGCTGTGTGTGACCTTCTACTGTTCGCCTCTCCTCCAGCCCGCCCTGAAATAGCAGACTCGGGCGGGGCCCGGAAGGCGTCTTCTCCCACCTTTCTAGCCACAGCCCTAAGCTCCAATACTAGGACGAGGCTTCTTTTCCTACTTTGCCCGGCCCTTCCCCCTCCTGCTCCGCTCCAGCGTTTCTCCTTCTAACCTCCGGACACACAGCCCACCGCTGCTGTCTCTGCCTCTGCCTCCCTCTCCAGGCCCTCTGTCTCCCCTTTCTCCTGCCACGTCTTCGAGCTCAGTCGTACTCTAGCTGGGGGAAAAGAAGCTTCCCCTGACCTCTGTCCCTGCTCCCTCTCTGCGACGGAGCAGCTGTTTCCCAACCTGAACTTGGCCGAGAGTCCTGCCACTGAAAGGCCTGCCAGGACGGTGTGGGTGTGCAGGGGCCCCAGAACTGGATATGGGCTGCTGAATGAAACAGGAGCCCCTCTTCCCTGCTGCTTCCTACCCATAGACTGTGGTTTGCTTTTCTTTAGGTAAGGAAATGGGAAAAAGACCTTTTAAGAATCTACCTCGTGTTGGTTTAATATTTATTGAAAACTCAAAAGGAGAATATCCAGAAAAACACAGTTAGGCACCTCGCCTGGGAAACACTTTCTGGTGTTGGCTGCAAGCCAGACTCAAAACATAAAATACAATCAACTGTATTATCAGGCCATTGTCCTCCCATCCTTTCCAAGTCTGGTTTTCCCCACGTAACCTCAGAGCCAGGTAACCTTGTCTAATTCCAAGCTTTGTACAGCATCAACCATACACCTGATGCTCTCCAAGTGCTAATTAATAAAGAACAACAACAAACAAGGATTGATTCAGCAGCTCTCCGTAGGTGTTTTGTTAAATCCTCTGCACCATAACATTAAGGATAAAGCTGTGGAGCTCCTGGCAATGACTGCAGCCTGAGACCTCAAGTTCCTATCTTCAAGGAAGTAAGAATGAGGTTATAGCACTCAGCAAAAGGCTTGATTAATCCATGCAGAACTTCCTTGGGAATTTGGCCTAGAGGGTCCTGTGTTTGCAAGATGACTGTCTTTAGTGACTGTAGCCAGGCCAACTTCCTCACCTGAGGCACAAATTCCTCTCTTGCCAAGTGTAGAATAGCCAAGTGTTTTGACTACCAGGATTCTAGTTCTAATTATGCCATTTACTTGCTGTGTCACCTTGGGCAATTTACCTCTCTGTGCCTCAGTTTCCACCTCTCAACCAAGGTTTATCAGTGATCTATTATCTAATTCCTAGGATTATGCACATTTAAAATGAGTTGAATTATGCAGCACATTATGTAGTATCTGGTGCATAAAAAGTGCTCGATAAATGCTATCTGTTAGTTATCCTCATCCAGTTCTGCATCTGCGCTGGCAGGCCTGCATGGGTGCAGACACACTCACATTCAGTGCCCTCCCCTACATCTGCATAAACAATCCTACCCAGCCTTCAAAGCCCACGTGAAATTGCACTCTCCCTACCCCCCACCTCCAGCTCCCAGAACTCTCTCCCTCCTCTGAACTTCAGCAGCAGTTATTGCCTGCACTACTCATTTTATTCTGAATCACATACTGCCTTCCATTGTTCTCTCATTGTTAGTTCTGTCTCCCACACTCAGATCTTTGACAGCAGGGATGGGTCTTCATCTTTTCTAAACCCCCCTCAGCACCTAGCAGAGTGGCAAACATAGTAGGCACTACGCGCAGACACTGGGGGAGTGTTGTCCCCATAGGTAAAAGGCAAACAATGATTGAGCTGAAATGGTGGGTCAGATTTTGGAAACTCATAAGCTCCAGACAAATGTCCTGATCATTTCCTTGCTGGGACAACAGGCCATTGGCTTCTTGTCTCCAAACCGTAACAAGAGCACATGACCTTCGTTTTTTAAGTAGAACCTTGAAGCGCAGTGAAAAGGGAACTGGGACCTTGGGGAAAGTCATCTCTCCGTGACTCCATGTACTCAGGTAAAATGAGTGGGGTGGACTGGAATGGTTTCTAAGATGCCTGTCGGCTCTAAGATTCTATGATTCTAGGAACTCAGCCTTGCTTCCTTTCATCCAAGTCATCTTTGAACCTTAAGGCAGAAACCTGATCTAACTGGCTTGGTGATCCTAGCCACCTTTCTGCCTGTTGAGACAGTACCTTAAATTCTTTTGTCCAAAGTACCTTCCCAGCTATAAACTCAGCTGACCTCCTATGGAATGCAAAGAGTCAAATTATTACCTCTGTCATACCACGGACGAGCAGCTCAGAAAGGTGTAGTGACTTGCCTAAGATCACACAAGTTCGTGGCAGAGCGAGGGCTAGAATTGGGGGTTCAACAGCATGGACCAGAGTAAGCTTGCTCATTGACTTGGCCATCTGACCCTTTCTCCTCCTGCACTTCATATTCTTTGAATCCACTCCTGTCCTTCTACGCACAATCTAACCTGAAAGTCAAATGCGTGCATGACTGCCCACAAGCAAAAAACAATGCACAATCCCCATATTATACAAAATGTTATCAGTAAAAATAAACTGTGTGTATGGGGGAGAAGGAAGAGAGAAGCCTTTGTCTTGATCTGACTATCTGCTTACTGCTTCTTTTTTCCCCCTCATTCATTCAACACTAGCGTTCATTCCACAAATATTTACTGAGCCTCTATTACAAAATTACATATTGCATAGGAATATCTTAGACTTGTAGGCCATCTCTGCCTTCAAGGAGCTTAAGATCTAGCTAGGAAGACGCGACAAACAAACAAGGAAGGCTGGATAACAATACAGGAGGGAGGTATAAATACAAACCAAGCAGGTAAGAGCTGCTGCCACCAGAGCAAATCTTGCATATTTCAAGTGAGCTGCACAGGCAATAAGGGTAAGAATTCAGTAGTTCAACACCAGGAAAAACTCACAGCAGTAAAGGGGAACAGAATCTGTCACCGCAGAATATGCCTAGTTGGCATAAGGATTATTGTAGACTGATTATTTTTAAGAAACAGCTGACATAGGAGAACTTACCCTTTTGTAAGAGATATTTACATTTATAAGGGAAATCTCCATTTTTAAGTGTGTCTCCCTCTCTGTACAAGGAAGAAAAGAAAACTCTAGAAGCTCTCTAGAAACTCTTATCAGCAGAGGAGGCTACAATTTAAATCTGCATAACAACTTTACCCTTGTTTACTGTGGTTTTCCTGGTCACTCCCTTTGAATAGCTGGCTCCCTCCACCCTCAACATCATTTGTCTTTGTAAGATGGTAGTTAAGGTGGTGGCTTGTGCCATTTCAGGGAGTTACTCAGTTTTCCTGGGTCTCTCCCATGTCCTGTATACAAAACCGAGTCTCCCTAAAACTGTTTCCATGCTGAGTTTATG